AAAGAGCATAAGCAAACCAAATTTAGATTGGCTGAACGTTAAATGGTGTTCGGATTGGGACCGTTTAAAGAGGTCTGTATGCATTACAATAAAATATATAGAGTGGCTTAGGTCTAAAACAAACAAAGAATTGAGATTCGATAAGACCATCAGTGCTGTTGATATGGAAAGGGCAGAAATTTTGCTGATTCTGAAAACTCAATGGGATGCATTTCCAGATGAGTTAACGGAACTCAATGTTAAACAGACGGTTGACAAATCTAGCAAAATACGAACGCTAACACCATTCCTCGATCAAAATGGTACAATAAAATCAGAAACACGATATAAGGATGCAGAGTGCGTTCCTTATGCGGCTCGATATCCTTACATACTTCCAGCAAAGCATCATGTAGGGTTACGGTATGTAATGTGGGTCTAGTCCTTTCATTCGGCCTATCACGCAAATAAATAATTAATTAAGGAATATTACACAAAAAATAAGGAAAATATTGATCACTGATGATTGATAAATGTGTACCACACACAAATCAATTTATATCACAACATTTCAATACATTTTCAGCTCTCGTAAGTAATAAAACTGGTTGAGAATATCACTCTGTTCGGAGTTTTTAGCCGCCATGACTTCTAAGGTTAAGATGGGAAGGTTGCACTGACGATCATCAAATGGCCTGATTATGGCATTTATTGAATGGAATTACCTGATAATACACACTAGACGTAAAACTCACAGTTACTGTTTGAATATTTTATGTTTATTTTAATTGTTTAACAACGTTTTCACAAGTAAATCATGGACCCAACTTTAGGGACACATTTCTTTTCTATGTTCCTAACTTTGGCCCATGAAATTCATTTGACAGCATATAGCAATAAGAGTAACGTCAACAATGTGGTTTGCATTTGGATGATAAGGAACGAACAGGAAGGGAGATTTTTTCTGCCAAATCTGTATAATGAACATCACAATGTTTTGATTTAGATATTCTGCGGTCGAAAGACGATAAGCGAAATTTTTAATTTTTAATTTTTAACTTGAGTGATTTAATGTAGTTTTCGTAAAATTTTCTCTAAGAAATGTTTTGAGGAATGAAGAGTATTAAGTTAACAGTGATAGTGATAAAAAAAAATACATAAGAAAACGTTACCAAGAGCGTTTTTTTTGAGAATCAAACAGGATAGGACGAAGTTGCATCCATAAATAGACCCAATTTGGGGACAATAGACCGATATTACATACATTTCCCTGGTGAGTTTTTGTCTTAAAAAAAGTAAGTTTTTCAACTTTTTGCGGTTCCTGATAGCAAACGACATGATAAGCATATCTAAGCATACCATTTAGCAGTAGAATATCGTTTGCAGGTAAATTAATTGATGAGTTATGATTAAAAACGTAATCTATGGCTGCATATTAGACCGAGGTTAGGGACGTATACCCTAGTTGATTTAATATTGAAAAATCAACATGAACAGTTTAAACATAAAAAAATGAAGGCTACGATAGCAGCAGTGCAACAAAAATATCATGTTATCCAAATAGATGCTGGAATGAAGAGGACAATAAAAAAATGTCAACATTGTAAAAATGAAAATGCGAAGATAAATACCCCTAAAATGGCACCTCTACCTGAGTGTCGATTGCAACCGTTCGTGAAACCATTCACCCATACCGGAGTAGATTACTTTGGGCCGTACAATGTGTCCATCGGACGAAGAACAGAAAAACGATGGGGAGCATTGTTTACATGTATGACAACAAGGGCAGTATATCTTGAAATAGCCCATGATCTGTCTGCAGATGCATTTTTATTATGCTTGAACTCAGTGCAGAACAGACGAGGCAGAATAAAATTCCTTTATAGCGACAACGGTACTAATTTTGTAGGAGCTGACAATGAACTAAAAAAGATTCAGCACAGACTTGCGTCAAGAGGAATTGAATGGCATTTCAACCCTCCATCATCTCCACACTTTGGTGGAGCATGGGAAAGGTTGGTTCAAGAAGTTAAAAGTCTTTTACCAAATCAAACTATGCCAGAACACACATTCCGTGCGTTATTAACAGAAATCGAAAATATAATAAATAGTAGACCTTTGACGAAAATATCTTTAGATGCCACGGATGACGAACCACTCACTCCAAACCACTTCCTAATTGGTTGTGCCGGCGGTGCCGAACCATCATTGAATGATGTGTCGAAGGCAGAGGCCACTAGACAACAATGGAAGAAAGTGCAGTCTATGGCTAAAACTTACTGGGATAGGTGGTTACACGAATACCTTCCTTCATTAGCCAAAAGATCAAAATGGTCGGAAGCTGTGAAAAATGTAAAGGAAGGAGACATCGTTATGATTGCTGAAGATGATCAAAAGGCAAAGTGGAAAAAGGGAGTTGTTTTGAAAACACATGTAGGCAAGGATGGTCAGGTAAGATCGGCTGTTGTGAAAACAGCCTCTGGAGAATACACTCGACCAGTAGTCAAATTGGCTATTATGGATGTTGAGCCGCCAGGCGAAGCTTCTTCAAATGAAGACAATAAAAAAGAACAAGTAGCATCAAAACGGGTGTTGAAACACCAAGATGTTGAAACTATCATTAAAAAAGATTGCTTTGTGGGAATGATACACAAAGTAAATGACGAAACACTCGCGGAATAACGATCATATATAAGTAAACCTAGAAGGATTTACGGGCTCCGGAATGTTACCGCGAGGCAATTAATTTCAAACCAAAACCATAAGATACTCACAGTTGCATCCCGTTTGCATAGCCCTAGCTGACGTTGATACCAAGGCCAAGAATATGAAATGAAAAGTAGGGCAAAAGGAGCGAGAGCTCGTTTTACATAATCTAACTGCAGTATTTACTTAGGAACGTTTCTGCGTTCAAGTAGGATAAACACGCCCACGCATGGCATGCTTGCGCATCTAGGTTACGTTTAGCTTTCCCTCTCTGTTTATCCTTAACGAAGGATATAATTATAATGTTTAAACGTTACAAATGTCTCATTCTTATTTGTAGAGCCATATCAGATCTGAGTTACAAAAAGAAATAAACTTACAAGATAACCCCAGAAATCCCAGATCTGAGAGGGCATAGTATATAAGATCCAAATAACACAAATTTACCCTTTCAAGGGCGATCGAAATCCTAGCTAATAGAATAGGCAAAATTAGGTCAAAAGTCCGGTATTGAAAGGGATATGTAAAACCCTGGACGAACCAAGTAAAAGTTTTACATAATTATAAGTTGCTAATGCAACACGTAGCTGTAAGATCACTTTGTACAATTTTGTTGAATAAAATTAAGTTTCGTAGGTTACTCCAGATTCTTCTCTTTTTTGAATCCGAAAGAACTTTCGGCCTAGAAGTGAAAACTTCTCTCCTTAACCGGGGAAAAAAGTAGCTCCTAGAATCGAGAAACAGTGTCTGACCTGAAAGCGAAAGACTCTCCCTAACCGGAGAAGAAAGTAGCTTTTGGCGGCGACAAAGGTTAAATTAACAACCAAGAATTAATCGATTCTCTTCATCGATTTGTCTTTAAATTGCTACAACTAAGGGAAGCAATTTTATGAAATTTTATCAATACCGTGCTATAACAGGTTTTATACACGGTAACCGCAAAATACCCAATAATGACTACAAAGTAAGCATTTTCGAGGGAAACTTGGACTACCCATTAAATGAGTAAAATTTTACCCATTTATGAGTAATTACAACTACAAAAACAAGTAGTAAGTATTCATTTTTGAGTAACAAATACTCATAAATGGGTAATATTTTAACTCATTTAATGGGTAGTCCCAGTCTCACTCGAAAATGCTTACTCTGTAGTCATTATTGGGTATTTTGCGGTTACCGTGTAGGCTATCAAAAGCAATCAGAAGCAACAACAAACACACCGAAAAATATTAATCCAAGCAAGTTGTCAAGAAAAGAGTCGACGAAGAGAATCGATCATCGCGGTTACACCCTTATGCATGCTCACTGTCGATATTATCATTATTACTTGCCGTTAAGGCCCACGCACATTAGATTCGGATCGGACGCGTTGCGGAAAAGTGACAGCTAAATCCATTGTCTAACTGTCAAATTTACGTCAACGTGACGCAAACGGATCTAATGTGTGTGGTCCTTTACTGACAATGCATTATCATTTGGCTCGATGATGAGATATTTTGAATTTCCTGTTATGGTTAAGGATAAAACCATTTAAATTTAAAAAAAATAAATTAAGCCTGAAGGTTAAAAAAATGTTCGACATAGTAAATTTACTTTACTTCAACCGATGGGCTCCACAACAAGCTTGGTCGTGGACGCCAACAATCGTAAATCCGACTCTGGTTCCTTGGTTTCTTTTTCTGACGCTAGTTGCTGTTTCAAACAGCGTGTCTTGGCCACCTCATAATGCATAAAAGAACGATAATATATTGATGTACACTCAATTCTGTTTTAACGCGATTTTCATTTTTCAATTATCAAGGATGGGAACAGCATTTTTAATGTCACAAAGCTTTTCTTTGATTTTTTTTTTTTTTTTGAAGATTTTATGAAACAATTGCAATTTGAGATCACATGATCAAAACTAGAGGCGAAAAAAATCACGTAAAAACAGAATTGAGTGTATACATATTCGTTTTAGACTCAATCCTCCCATTTCAGAAACCCAACCTAAACGCGCAGCTCAACAAACTGTTGTTAAAATTTAAAACGAAAAAAAACAATTCACATCACCAAACCAAAACATGACAAATAGCCCCTGCTTTTCCACGCGCACTCCGAAAATAAAACACACCCCACTAGAGAAATGAGAATAAATACAAATCACTCTGGCCGCTTTGCAACGATCTGAGCAGAATTTTCACACGCTCAGTCAACAGATTTTTCCTCTTTTCACAGAAAATTTCGCTCAAAAAATTGTTCTCATCTCTCTTCAGATCGCGCACGAATTTTCCCGTCACCAAGATTTTCCGCTAAACCACGGCCGGCGGCCACAGTTATATTTCAACCGTCGAAACTGAAACGTGATCTAGACTCACTCTAGAAGAATAGCCAAGCGCTTTGAGCTTGGAAGTAAAGCAAAAAAAAAGTAGGTAGAAGATAGAAATTGCCAAATTTAGCCATTTTTTTTTAAAGAAGCTGTAGTGGACATCGGTGAATATTTAGACTGGTTTTTGTGATGCAGTGATGGGAATTTGCAGTATCTGACAGAACAATCGATTTTGTTTTTCTATTGAAATCGCTTGGTGATTATGTAACGAAAATTTTCCATCCCGAGATGTAAGCCACGCGGTCGGATTAAATCTAAATCGAAGCATAATTTATTAATTCAAGCCATAATCCATCGATCGTTTCGACTTGCGCAGCTTGATCGCGATTTGCCAATCTCCGAGGGGCAATAAATTTCAGCGCAGGAAATGATCGAAATAGTGATTTAGAGTAGGGTTATTTTTTATCGAGTTCCCGAGTCGGTTTTCATTTAACTGCGCGCATAGCCCGGACCAAGTTTGGATCCCATCAAAAAAGGAGGAAAATCGAGAAAAGTGAAAAAGATAATAATAGCATTTTTGTGGGCGCACGCCGGCTGAACCGCTGGTTTTGGCTTTTTGTTTTTCGCTGGTAGGCCTGTTATTGTTGTTCTTTTGTCACCTCATCGGCGCTGTCGGCGGTAGGAGCGAGAATTTGGTGTGTTTATAATTAGTGACGAAATCGAGAAAAGCGCGGTGCAAACCGCGACTGACTGGTGAGAGCAGATATGGCGGGCGCGCGTGATATTCACCACGAATGGTGGCGGGAGCAATAGCAACAACAACAACAACCTACGGTGGCGATGACGATGACAACAACGAATAAGAAAACAACGACAAATCAACTGCTGAGATACACGGTTATGTGTGCGTTTGTCTGTCTGTGTTTATTGGACATTTTCTAAAAATATTTCTCTGTTTCAATTCTGAGTGCTTTTACTGAGAAGAAGTGGTTCAGTAAGGCAGAACAAAATGGTCTGTCGGATGCGATACGGCTGATCGAGCCAATTTGTAGTTAGAAAATTAAAGGGCAATTGTAAAGGGGATAGCTTCTTGTGACTGTTACCTACTCATATTTGTTCATGAAACGATGAACGTATTTAGAGCATATCGTCAACAGAATGTAAAAATCAATCAAGCAAAAATTCCAAATTTTGTCTAAAAAAGAACTTGAAACTTAGTTGATCTTCACGTTGCTATGTTTAGTTTAAATTATGTTATATTCTCTCCTTGTATTCATAATTATTGTCTACCACTGATTATTTATGACAATTGTAATGTTATTGTGAAGTTGAATTGAAAAATTTATTTCACAATATCAGATAAAAATTACATTACTTCATATTTAAGAACACTTGGATTGTAACTTGATTTCCTAGTTTACGATCCAATATCCAACGCAGCTGCCGATTGTTCAGTTCTACTACGATGCTTATCCTGATCCGGCCGGGCAGCTTTTTTCGTTCACGGAAACGATGTCCTAAAGTCATCTAAGTAAAAGTAAGGACTTCTGTCAAAAGTTGTTCCAATCGAACCGTAAAAATGCAATGTTGTGCTTGATTAGAACAACTTTTTTCAGTTTTATGGTGACATCGTCTATATATTTACTAGGGTGTTACGATGTTAAACGTACGCGGTAAATTTGGCATATTTTTTCTATCTGGCACAATTCAACTTCAACTCGATCAGGCTGACTCAACATTAAGTCGAGTCGACTCAATTTCATCTAAAGCAAGTTGAATTTTCCGGCGAAAGCTGTGGAAAACCATGAAAAACTTCTTGAATATGAGGACAATCCATGAATCTTTTACTCAGTCTAGGAGTATACTAACAGACTGAATGATATCTTTATCGATTTTCGTCATATTCGAGAAGCTTTTCCTGGAAATTTCCGGAAAATTCAACTCATTTTTGAGAAAATCCAATTTTGACGAAATTGAGTCAACTCGACTCAATTTTAGGTCAGTCTGATCGACCGTATGCACGAATTGTGCCAATACGTTCAATACTGAAAGAGGAACGCGTTCAAAACCAACTACTGTCAAAATATTCCAGAGCCGCTACTATCAATTAAACTATGCTTCCGGATTCTAACTGGACCACACTTTAAAACATTCATTTCAAGATAAACAATTGAGTCAACAAACAGGTCTCGTAATCTCAACGTTCATGGTTCGGCCTGCTCCATTTTTTTTGTTGTCAACATTATTTTTCATAAGGCAAACCAGGGAAATTCATACCGATTCATTATGACTAAAATTCATAAGCGGGTCTTATGGAATGCGTACGTCCATTTGCCTCAGTGTAGGTTTCGTCGTCCATGAGAAGGCATCCTCTGTAATTCATCGAAACCTGGTCGTACAAATTCTGACTACGTCTTCTGGTCACTAGATTTTGCTTCGTCCTGTTCGGTTGCTTGGAGGCACGGAATGAACGGTAACCTGCTCGCAGACGAATCCTCCGGACGGTACTACCATAGAGAAGACCAGAAGGTCCCAAAGAAACGAGCTCAACTTTTTGGCTCAGCTCTGGTACTCTCTTCGGTCCCAAGCTAATCGATGCACCCCTCGAAACATAAGAAAATCCACGAACCCCTCATTTTATCTATCAAACTTTCATAGCGAATCAAAACAAACATAGTGTAGTACTGGAATTTCGACTAGAGTGGGATACGTTAATCGATTTGCTTGGGACCAATAGACTAGTCAAGTAGTGAGCCAATTTAAAATTGTTAGTTTCGTATTGATTGTTGGTACTACCATAGAGGTAACTCTAAGACTAGAAGACCTGCCCAACTTATTGGCTCTGCTCTGGTACTATCTTTGGTCTCAAGCTAATCGATGCACCCCTCGAAACATAGGAAAATACACGAACCCCTCATTTTAACTGTCAAACTTTCATAGCGAAACGAAACAAACATAGTGTAGTACTAGAATTTCGACTATAATGTCGACTAGAATGGGGTATGTTAATGGATTTGCTTGGGACCAATAGGCTAGTCAAGTAGTGAGCCAATTTTAAATCGATGGTTTCCACCGGTTGGTACGGTTGTAACCGTATTTTTTTGGCAACATCTCGATCCGAGAGTCCTGGGTTTCTCTAGATCGACCTCAACACCTTCCAGTTCAGCTGCCGATCCAAAGTTCAAGCACTACATTTGCTTTGAACCCCTTGCGATCACGGTCATATCCCCCGGTAGAAACGGTAATTTTCAACATTTTCGTGTGGTTTTCGACGTGGGTGTCCAGGATCAATTTTCTTTGCTCGTCTTGCATCTAGTACAACTTTTTTAATACAGCACGTATCGGGACGAAACTTTCACCACTGAAACACGTATACTTCTGAAACAAATAGCTGTTCAAAATATTTAAAATCTGACAACTAGAGGTCTGGCTATAGAATAAATAAAGTGTCCGTATTGCGTGAACCTGACATTAAGATTTAGAAAAAAATGCTACGCCTATCAAATAAAATAAGATTAATATTTCGAAATAAGTCGAGGTATGAAAAAAAGAACGTTTCTCGGACTTACAAAATGTGTAGGATTGTCACTTTGGGAAAACTTCGAGGTTTTGGGCGTGTTCAGTATTACATATGTACGCTAGCCCCACCTCGTGAGAGAAACCTAAACTAAAATGTCCATCATAAAGTAATCCTTGCCCGCCTAAACATTCCTTCCGAAGACACCAATCTTTTTTTTTTCAATCGAAATATCAAGACACATAGGGGAGTCATGATAGGAGGGCATGGCACTTTGGATCCTCCCCAATAATTTTCAATATGGGCAACGTATAGTTTTTCCCCTCCAATAATTTACATATATTTTTCAAATTTCTGCCTTCAAGTACGATAAACCCGTATAAAAAACACATTACTGGGCTTTTTGTATAAGCTGCTGTACCATTGCAGGGCTGGAAGTGGGTATGTGATACAATAGTAGTGAATTTAGTGACTAAAATAACGAAAATATTTATCAATTTGTAATTTTAAAACAATAAAAAGAGTCCAATAGTGACATTTATTGATCGAAAAGGTATGGTTCCAATCTTTGCCACTTCGAGAAATTTTTGAAACTCATAAACCCATCATGAGCATTTCTCATGCTTCTGAATTAAAAAAAGGTAAATCCCATTGTTTTCGAAAAATAAATGTTAATTGAATAACCAAGAACTACGGTCTAACCACCATTTCCTCACTCTGCACTCATTTAACTAGGGTAAGTGTGCCAGTTGTTGGCCAAGTGGTCCTCTTATTGACTCATATTTGTATAACCTTTGTATGATTGGATTTGGTTGTAAATTAGTTTACTTTAAATAATTCTATGAATTTGTGTTACTTGGGTAATGCGATAGATGACTGGCACACCTACACTGTTTGACACAGCCCACAGAGGAGTAACTGGAACAAAAACCTGGCCAAAATAAGAAAACAAGATTTTCTTGATTTTTCATGCTTCTATATTTTTTTTATATATTTCAATATATGCAGCATAAAGTGACAATGGAATAAAAACGTTACATTTTGTTTACAAATTTTGAGACGTGTTCAAAAACTGAAGAAATTCGAAGCTTCTTGTTTTCCAAAAAGTAACCATGTAATAATTACGCATACCAGATATAAACAATTTGATCAAGAGTTAAGTGTTATAATAAAATGGGTACTTTGGGATCTTTTCTAACAAGTTATGAGATAAAAACTTTTAAATTTAAATGTTGTCTTATTTTTTCAACAATCTGAAAAAAATGTATTTTTTATGTTTTTTTGTGCTGTTTCAGACTTGAAAAAGTTGTAGAATCTTGCGCGATCAGATCATATAATCTGTGGAAGAATGAAAGTTCACGTTATTATAAACACATTGGCATTGGAATCTCGTCCGGAGTTGTCCGGATTGGCGATTGCGAGCCATTTGAAAATGGCATGTTTTGCATCATTTCGTGGCAAAATTTTATCCCTTTATAAGGTCATACTTCTAGAAAACTTCCATAGCACAACGGTTTTCTGCAGATAGCTATGACAAACTTACCGAGTAATACTTCTGTACTTCTTTAATCTATTACATCAA